AGGTAAACATCATTGTGCATGTCTGTATGTGTGTTAGGCTCTTCATCCACACACACAACGGGTTTGAGAGTCACGTTCTTAAACACGGTTATAATTTTTGGAAAGATTTTTAGAAGTATTTGATCGTTGTTGGTAACATAGGCTTGGATGTTTTAAATCTTAAGTTTACAATTCACTGACCTTTCTAGAAGTTATTCCATTGTCCAGATTTAAGGCCTGATGGAGCAGAAACTGCAGTTTGCTTTGAAAGATGTCTTTGGTAATGCTGAAATGACTGATTCATTAGTCAGCTAGTTGATGGAGAGAACATTTTTACAGTTTAATAATCAGTTAACCCTCTGAATTCCAAGCAAATTCTTGCTCCTGGGACATTTTTACACACAGTGGGCTTATTTTGTATTGCAATATAAATTCCTGCACCTCTATGGAAACAGCACAGCCATGGCTACAAGTAGAGAAAACTCAGAAATGTCCTCTGTGCAGTGTAACTGTTATGCCATAAATCATTAAAGCAGAAAATCAATCATTTTTTTACAAAACCTGAATGAAACACACACAAAATGCAGTTTTCTGCCCATTGCTGACACAAGGACAAAGTAGTGGCTTTACATGGTATAGATATTTTACTTCTTACTGCTTTCATTTGTTTCCCTACTTGTCTTTTCTGTGTAGTCGCAGCCTGCAGTACAGTCAAATAGTCCCAAATACATGGTTTATTTTTGGCAACTTTTTCGTACAAGTAGACAAAAAGGTGATTTTGAATAAATTCACATTTTTAAGTTTGGTTTGGCTTTGGTTAATTTTCAGAGAATCCAACATTTCTGTCTATTTTACAGTGTCTGGCTTTGACAAATGCTTTAATTGTGGCAATTTTGTTGATGATAACATGGCTTTCAAACCTACCTGGGAGTCCCTGGGAGGGTCACATCATTTATTATATTAAAATGACTAAATTTACAGTTTCTAGGTCAAATATAAGGATTAGCAAACAGGTCTAAGAAAATATCCGTGATCTCGGCAAACTGTATTCTTTTTTAAATGTTGTACATTTCCATATTTTTCAGTTAACTGGTACAGGACTACACCCAAAACAGTTTTAAAGGCAGTATATGAAAACGGTACTGTACTATAATAAAAGTTAACCCTCTAGGATATTAGCTGGAGTAAAGTCATGCATACAATTTTGAACAAAGGCAAGAAGGGAAGCCAGAAGTGTTTGTAAATGTGGACAGGTTGTTTGTCTGCATGCATACGCCGGTAAATGAAAATAGCAGTATTTAAAAGGAGCATACAAACAGCACATCAAGTAAATGAATTTGCAGCTGTAGGCATTTACATTTCCCATAGAGTCAGTCTCAGGAAACTTGCTAGTCTGCCTCCATTATTGGCTTTCCAACCACAGAATCCCATAGGAGGGTAAAGGTCCTCCTGCCTGTGTGTAGAGCAGTTTGTTGCATTACACAAGAGTCTTACATTAATCAGATGTCCAGGTTAATCTCCAAGCTCAGCAGGCAGCATTAACCTGCTGGACAGGAGCCTCAGACCTGTTATGTCTCCTTCCGTCTCTCTTTGAGGCTACAAATGCGCCAGCCCTGCAGCAAAGCACTTTGGCTACCGTCCAGAGACATTCCTGTGTTTGTCATGATTGTGGTCTTTCATAGAACACCAAATCCACTGGTTTTACTGCTTCCTCAGCTTCTGGTCAGATACCTGCACCTGCAGAACATGAAAATAGAAACCTTGGCTGTGAGTGGACGCATGAACAGAAGATTCAGGAGCTCAAATGGCACAAAGAGAGTTCCATGCTTCTAGTTGCTATGCAACAAAAAAAGCCCACTTACAAGCTGGATAGTAAGAGTTAACTAGCTTACCTGAAGTAAAAAGGAAGATGTTAAAACTGAAAAGGGACTGTTGGTGATTGCTGGGGGACTGGTAAAAAGAAGTTCATGTTGTGATAATCCACACTATTACAGGCAGTCATTTAAAGCACTCTCAGTTAAGGTGGCATCCAGAAATGGACATCATCTAAAATAAGTGATTCACAATGAGTGGAAGACCACAATAAAAACAGTCTATAAACAAATGTGACCTGTTCAAACAAGTTAGTTTCCTTTTTTTTTTTTTAACTTAATTTAAATTCATTTTTAATCACAGACAAAGACTGAAAATTGCCTTAAGAACAAAGTCAAATATTAAATACTGGTGAAAATGACGATAAGTAAAATTTCTTCAAAAACCCAAAAGAAACTTCCTGTTGCTTTTTTGAGTCAAATGATTTTTTTTCTGGCGTAAACATGGAGACCAATACCCAATGTGTAGAACCGATATAAATGCAGTATAAATGAACATTTTGGTATCATCACTTTAAACAACACCAACTCTAAATAAAAATGTTGTTTAAATGTCTTAGTTTCATTAAAAAAAAGACCATGTTTGGGTTATCCTTCAGTGTTGATAGGCTACTACTCATGACATCTAACCAATCAGATTGTGCAATGGGCAGGACATCACCCAAGATTAGAGTGTTGACTACAAATAAACAAAGGTGGCTGCATCAGAGCCAAAATAGTCTCACATAGTCAGGCCATTCTCTCTCGTCAGTTCAGCACTGGATGGAGTGGTCTGTCTGCACCTCAATATCATTCTGCTGTAAGAGAAAACATGTGTTGGCATTTCTTCAAACCAATCATAATGTTTTGGTTGGGGTTAAGAACATGATACACTGGTGGTGTTCACTCACTGTCATGAAAATGGATAACTCAGAAAACACTAGCAGAGCTGCCCTGCAACACAATCCCATACAAAATGTGTAGTTGTTTCCTGTAATTAAGGGCATTTTGAAAACAATAGAGGAAGGCCAATGGCAGGCTTATTTTACTTGTGATCTACATCTAGAGAATGAGACTAGAGCCAAAGTAGCACATTTTTAAATTAATTTATTTCAATGGAAATCAGTTTTTAAAAAATCAACAACATGTAATCTGGAAAAATGCTGAATGTCAGATCCGATAATCTGCCAAAACAGGTAATCACTCGAACCTTAATAAAAATGTTAAAGCAAATGCTGTCATATGCTAGTTAAAATGAAGAAACGTAGATCCTTTATAAAGTAACCACAGTTTGATTATTTGATATTGTCCATTCAAAGCCCCCTGCTTCTCAAATCTCACCCCACCTATCAGTTTGTACAGCAGCAGTAATTCCACTTGCATTTCTAGACAGAAATGAAAAGGAAACGTCTCTCCCTGTCAGGGTGAACAAACCTGTAGAAAGCGCCTGCAGATCAGTCAAACTGACTCTAGTCCACAGATTAAGGAAGAACCTCCATCAGCTTGTTGCGTTGCTGTAATCTCTATCTGGTGTGTTCGATCCCAAGTGAGCCCTGATACAGATCAGCTGCAGGCCACATTCCTGCTGTAGCCAGGCTTTGCAGAGCGAGGCTGTTCACTGTTACCATGGAGTCCATCCCATCTGCTCTCTGCCACTGCTACCAGCGGGGGGTGAAGAGGGGTAGTGGAGGGCTTTTTAGTATGTGTGTGTGTCTGTGTGTGTGTGTGTGTGTGTATATGTGTTTGTGTGTACACACAAGTGATGCAGCTTAACACCATGGACAGCAGAGAATATGCGCTCTTACTTAATTCTTCGCTTCCTCTGTGAGTTTGATTATGTGCATTATGTGGCCTGGAGGTAGATGGAGGATTAAGAGATTTTCAGCAGCTTTCTCAGATTGCTGTCTTTACACTTTGAGAGCACCTTCATGATTAGGAAAGTAGCTTCACAAGGATGGTCCTCCTTCTGTCTTTGATCCTCCCCCACCGCTATCACATGCTTTTTGTTGTCCCGTTCATCCGTCTTTTTGAATCATCGTGTAAGACTTGGGCTCATTTCTTTTTTTACTGTCTAAATGTCTCATTTTTTTCATATTCAGCCAGCTGCCAAGCCACCCATATGAACATACTGGTATCTTTATAACTGCTAGTTCTAATGGACTTTGTTCAAGACATCTTGTTCCCCACTACTTAGTTGCTGTGTGCCCACTCTCCTTCTACTCCCCAATCCCTAAATATCCCCTCACATGAGTTCTACATTAGCACCCTCACTTATTCCAGTCCTAACAACTTCTCAGAGTTTTGAAGGTTCAACAAAAAGTGTCCGCTCTTTTTGCAAACAAGGTGAGGGTTAATGATTGAGAGGGCCTGTGTGGAACATCTGTTTAAGGAGAGGATTGTTGGGACATTTTAAAGGACAATGCAGGTGCTGGATGGAACTGTGCATTGATCAGAATTAAACCCACTTGCCTAAATCAGTGTATTGTGTGCATTTGAAATGGACACAGGATCTCTGGTGGTGTCTGGCACCAGGATCTTTTGGTCCTATGACTATTTAATCAGATTGATATCTGGGGAGTTTGGAGGCCTGAACAACACCAGAGAGACCACGTTTAGATGTGTTGTATGTGTCAAAGTAACATCTTTATGAATTGCAGTGTAACCAAACTATCACCGCTATACACTGTTATCTATCAGTAGGTTTATTGTTGCAGCTGATATGTTTATGTCACATATTGATTTAGTGGAGCAAATTTTGTAAAGTACAGTGGATAGAATAGGTTGTCTTCCTAGAAAGAGGCTGTGTTCATGTAATACCGCTGTTGTTAAGAGGACAGAAAGGAGACACTGTAAACAAATCAGTCGTGTCGTTTCAACTCATCTGGGCTGCTGAATAAAACATACCCAAGACTTCTCCGCTCTCCGTCCTGCTGCCTGTTACACCTCCACTTTCACAAAAAGAGAGTTGGAGCTTAAGAATCCTTTGGATTAGCCAGAGCCTGGCTAGCTCTTAAGCCCCAACCGCCCCCATGATCTCAATTAAAAACTTGTGCCTTCAGCAAGGTTTTTGCACCCACTATATTTTTTCATGGTGTCGATGAATTAGTGCAAAGTCGTGGGAGGAAATGGTTCTAAATCCGTTTCTGTTCTTCTTTTTCCTCCCATCTGCAGATGATCCAGCTGACCAGCGTACTTGCCTTATCTGTGGAGATCGTGCCACAGGCCTGCACTATGGCATCATCTCCTGTGAAGGCTGCAAAGGCTTCTTCAAGCGAAGCATCTGCAACAAGCGCGTGTACCGCTGCAGTCGCGACAAGAACTGTGAGATGTCGCGAAAGCAGCGCAATCGCTGCCAGTACTGCCGCCTGCTCAAGTGTCTACAGATGGGGATGAACCGCAAAGGTAAAATATGGCCGCATCACAGGGGCATCATTCACAGTAAAGGTCAGCAATCATGACACTTCCCCCTTCCAGAGAAATAAAATCTATTTGTAGTGACATATGTCTTTGTATGGGTAAGTGCAATGTGAAAACTATTTCCTGCACTCTTCAGTTTAGGTATAGTTTGGCAGGAGTGTCAGCGTCCCAGTGATAAGAGTCCACAGCAGTTACTTTTTGTTTCAAGTGTCTCAATATAGCAAATACATAATGCATCATACTGACATCACTTTCTTTTGTTGGCTGATGTGTACAGGCTCCTTTACCTTTACTACAGTTTATTATCAGGGGTTGTATTCAATGGAAACTCTGCCTTTACAATACAATTAACTTTTCAGGTGATTTGTGAACATTTTTTCAAACATGATTACAAAATCGTCACAAGTTTTGGGCCTCAATAATTTATAGTAAAGCCCACTGACAGTAAACTGAAACAAAAACCTTTTAGTTTTTAAAACTTCAAACTCACATGCAAAGAGGGATATATCTACTGCTAACTACCTGGAAAAAGCCACCTGAACCTGGATGTTGGGAGATGTTTTAGGCCTAACATACTTCAATTGCTACAGACCATCCAAAGGTTAAGAAACCTTGTTTCCTGCCTTATATTTCTTGTCTTCAACCTGCTGTCAAAGTCCTGAAGAAGGCTGAAATGCATCAGTTCTACCAATAAATCTTACTCACCTCTGGAATGCTTAGCGACACCCTCACAGTTAAATGTTAAGTAAGCAGAGTGGAGCTGCAGTTTGTCCTCATGCAAGGTCTCAGGTTCTTGTTTTAATGGGCGCATGCTGCCCCCTAGTGGGACAAATCACATGTGACCTTTCCGTGCTCCTCCAGCCTGATGGCTTCATTTTATATCATTCCAAATACTTTGACTAAAACAGGCTCGTGTCAATGTATGAAATACATTTAAAATATTTATATAGATTTTTTTCAGGGAGTCTAAAGAAAATCATGCCAACAAAAGCAGGAAAGGCGAAAGTTAAAACAGGACAGAAATGATCACCAAATGAAAAATATACAATATGTGAGTTGTTTCAGCCACTAGGTAGAGCTGTAAGACTAATCATGTTTTGTTAATGAACCTAAGCTATAACTCTTCCTTTTGTTTTTGTCGTACAGCAATCAGGGAGGATGGCATGCCAGGAGGAAGGAACAAAAGCATCGGGCCTGTGCAGGTAAATCACCAGAAATGTCTCTTTTTTTATATATCCCCTGACCTTCTCCCAGCTTAGAATCGGACTAAACATATCATTTTGGCCAAATCCCACCGGTAGCTTGCTTACTCTGAATGCATTCATAGCACAAGCCATTCACTTAAATAACATTGAGTTTGAGTGCTGTAATGCTACTCATGTGGGTGTAGGGATACTCGTGAGGAATGTAATGAGAGAGAGCCCTGACCTTGTTATATCATCAGTATAATCATGTAGTCGCTGATTATTTCCTATTCAGCACCAGCTTCATTATTAACACTGGCAAGAGAATAAATGGTCAGGAAAATGTGTGACATGAGGATAAGTACCACTGAGCCACTATTCAGGGGAGGGATGTGGTCAATTCATTCCAGTTCAATTCAGCAAGTCAAAACACAGAAACGTCCGCTTCCATTAAGAGACAGCTTTATTTCTAAACCCTAATGAAAAGAGGACCTCTCTGTCATTAATATGGAATGAATTGCATGTTTCAGTATATGTGCAGAATTGACCTCAGCCACAGATACAAGACACCATATTTTCTGGCAGGCTAAAGCATTTCAAAATGGCTTTTGTCTGTGTTTTCTCTCTGCACTGACCTGCAAGGATTCTATTATTTTAGACGTGTGCATCACCCAGTCAAATAGAGACACACACACACACACACACACACACACACACACACACCTCTTTTCTTTCTTTTTCTAGCTCTCTATTTCATTGTGTGATTGTGTCCTTGCTCCTCAACATTTTAGTGAAAAGCAGCACAGTTCTAGTCAATGCTAATCAATTGAGCTTAGACACACACTGATTTTCATTGCACGAGGATGTGCTGGAAGCTACAAAAAAAAAAGAAGATAAACCTCCCTCCTGCGTGTATGCGTGTGTTTAAGATCACAGAGGAGGAGATAGAGCGGATCATGTCGGGGCAGGAGTTCAAGGAGGACGCCCCAGAGCACACCTGGGGCAACAACGGGGACAGCGACCACAGCTCTCCCAGCAATGGAGCCTCTGAGGGCAACCAGCCGTCGCCCGCCTCCACTCTGTCGTCCAAGTGAGTCGTTCATCTCATCCACTCAACCGCGCAGCGCCAGCACTCGCCCCATCATTGAGATAATGAGCCGGCCCTGACAGTCTAACACCTCATTCCCATCTCACCCAGACTTTAGTTAAGGTATTCATCTGTTGAAGAATGCCTGAATATGCAGCTCCTGAGGCTTGGTGATGATAGCAAACACAAAGAACTCGCTGCACTATCTTCTGTTCTTGCTATGGAGACAAGCGCATTGTCTATCTACACTCATCAAGGACAAATATTGTCTAGGTACTCGGATGACAGCATTTATTTTAGTCTCATTTGTGTCAACATTAGGTTTATCTCAGCAGCCACGCAGCCTCATAGCTATTCAGAGGAATAGTTGTTTTATCAAATTAAATCTTAGCAGAAATGAACAGCAGTCACAGAAAGCTTGCACAGTGTAGGTTTGGTATGCAGGTACAAAATGCAAAGTTTTGTCTACAAGTTGTTTTTTTAAAAAATTCAAAGATTTTCAATGAAAAAGAAAATATGGCTCCACAACACTTCTCTAGATAAAGGTTAAATGTTAGAAAATTAAAGAAACACTCTGTACATCCAGAGGTGTGGTAGTTTATTGTAGAAACACAGGAAGCAGGGGAAACTGCCACCCTCACACTGTACTGGACACGCAAATATGAAATGTGTCTTCCAAGCCGACTCTGGCTAAGACTGTAATTCAGTGTATTTCAGACTATTCCTTTAATGTATGAAAAAAATAATAAAAATGCGCTCCTCTATGGCCGAAATATATTTACCCTTTGACCTTTGTGTGCTTCCAGTCGCTCTGTAGAGATGAACGGCTACACAGCAGCCCTCAGGGATCAGTACATCAACACTTCAATGTCCACACACTACCAGCTCCTGCCCCACTTGTTCAGTTACGCTGCCCAGTCCGGCCTGCTGGCCCCCCAGCCCCGCAGCCTCTACCCTCAGTCCCACCCTTTAGTGCTGCAGCTGGTGGCTGCTGAAGACTTGGCCCCCCTGACCACTCCTATGCTCATCGAAGACGGGTGAGTAGATGCATACAGAACATCCATCCATATGCTTTATCCCAGCTGACACTGGGCAGGAGGCAGGGTACACTCCGGACAGGTCACTTGACACACGACCATACACAGTCATACACATCCACGACCAAATAGGAGATCATTAGTTAACCGAGCTTGCATGTCTTTGGACTATGGAAAGACGCCAGATCATCTGCAGAAAAAACACACAGGCACAAGGATAAAATGCAAACCCCAAAAAGAACGCCCCAGCAGACCAGGAGCTTCAAACCCAGAACCTTTTTGCTTAGAGGCGACAGTGCTCATTATTGCACCACTGTGCCCCCAGCTGCATACAGAGCTATTATAATTATAGACGATAGTAAAGAGCGTAGTGGATATGTACGTCAGTGGTGGAAGACGTAATCATATGTTTAATTTGAGTAAAAGCAACAATATCAAAGTTAAAAGGAAAAAAATCCTATGAAAGGCATCCATTGAAATTATACTTAAACTATCAGCTTTAAAAAAATACTTATAGCAGCAAAAGTAAACTCATTATACAGAAGGGACAGTTCGAGAAAACCACATACTATTGGAGTATAATTATTGCTGCACACTGTAATGTTATAGTTGATAAAAGTGTAGTTTTCACTACAAAATTTTTTTACTGCTATCTACTCTTTACTCATAATTCTTTGGTCATATTTTGTGTTATTAATCTGCAAAGGAATAGGCCTAAATTTATCAAAATAACTGTGATAGTATGAAAATTGTAATATTTGCTTCTAAAGCGTTGTGTAGTAGAAATATATTAAGTCATGTTTTACCCCATTAATTGCAAACTGACTCAAAACATTGTATATTTTGTGTCAAAATTCAACATTGCAGTATTCACATTAGGGTGCTGTATCGTTTCACCATGAATATTGTGATGTGTTGTTCTCATTTTCCATGACTAATCTACAAAAGAACAGAACATTCTTAGATACCCTAGAGAAAACTTTATTTACAATATTTTTTGACGAGGCTCGACACATGCACATGAATGAATGAGTAAGAGGAGAGAAACTCTAAAAGGAGGATTTGGTTGCAAAAAACGAAACGCACAATCAGTTGTATAGAAATATTTTGGCTGCAGAAAGAATGATGTCAATCAAAAGCAGGTACTCTGTCAACAGTGTCTTGCAATTATTGATACCACACAAGGCAACACAACTCATTTGTTAGACCATTTCTACCAGCACCACAAAGCTCTACCTGATGAGTGCAAAACTACATCGGAGCGCCTTCTAAAGCAAAATACTATTTTGGGCACCTTTGCCAGGTCAGAAAGGTTCCAAACAGCATTTTTAAAGTTTTCAATGCAGATACACTCTGCTACAAAATCACCCCAATCCTTTTAGAATCATTAGTTCTCTGCAAATAAGAGTTATTTTTGCATATTGCAGAAAAACAAATTATTGCAGGACTAGTTTTCTCTAATAATGTGCAGCCTTAGTTCACATCATTTAGATGTTTGAGAATTCCCTTCAAATCAGTCTGCTTATTGAATGCTTGAATAAGAATGCATGGAACATCTTTTTATAATATTAATTTAACCCTCATCTAGAATCTGCCCAGAGTTTTTACTAAATGGTGGACCTTTGAGTTTAGCTTGTCTAAATTGTAACATCTAGTCAGGATTCTGACTTAGAGGCGTTCAGTCATAATTTCACAGATGGTAGCTTTGCACCACTGGCTCATCAGTCAAGCACATACTCCAAATATCTGAACCTTTGGTTCCTCTCATACTGACCTGGTGGTACAAATTATTGCTAATGATCTAATGATCAGATGGGTGAACCCTAATGCTATTTGTTTAAATTTCAAATGAATAGCATTTTTGCAACATGTTATTTCTTGCTCTGCAGCAGCATTTCAACTGTAATTGCATCAGCTCAGAAGCCAATATCAGTAGTTATTGTCCTAACATTTGTCACTGTGTATAATCCAGGTACAAGGTAACACAGGTGGAGCTCTTTGCTCTGCTGTGCCGCCTGGCAGACGAGCTGCTCTTCCGCCAGATCTCCTGGATCAAGAAGCTGCCCTTCTTCTGTGAGCTCTCCATAGAGGACTACACCTGCCTGCTCAGCTCCACCTGGCAGGAGCTCATCCTGCTCTCCTGCCTCACCATCTATAGCGCCCAGATCTTTGGAGATCTGGCCGATGTCACCGCCAAGTACACGCCGTCTGATGACGAGCTGCAGGGGTGAGTGACAAGTGATTGAAGGGGAAAGGGATCAGAAAATGTGGTCATCTCAGACGAGTCTATTATCTCACCTACAGCAACAATAACTGCATCCTGCTTCTCTGTAGTGACCATTTGCATACGCAAGTTACTAAATATTACATCAGACTCCCGGAGCTGTGCCAATTCAGTATTTCGCTAAGAAGGAAGGTAGGTATCAGGAATTAAATGTTTCTCACTACAATAACAATCCCCTACAAAGGCGAGACGTTCCACTCTGGGGGCTCAGTACCTTTCAAAGGATTTAATATTTTTCTCTATTACGAAAGGAAAGTATTGTTGTTGGGTGAGGGCCAGTGAAGTGGTCCGTGAACAGGAGGACTCCTCAGGACAGAGCTGTGGCTAGCACCGACTGGCATGTGAAATATACACCTTTTCCATGCTCAGTAGAAGAGGATGCGTGGGGAGGGTTTGTTCCTGTGTAAATCAGACTCGAATTAACTGACCTCATGACATACATTCTCCTAATATACGATGCTGTTCTGCTGCTTTGGTCAATTTGCCTGTAGTTTAGGGGTTTTTGGAGTGAGTATTTGATTTACAGTGGCAGGACTGAAATTTGTGAGGGGGATTAGAAGTGTGAGAGTTAGAAAGACCAAGAATGGATGTTTGACGAGTGGAATTAAACTATGTATCTTCCTAGCCCCTTCAAAAACCTGTGGGATCAGCAACATGTTTTTAAGCACGTTCGGCAGATCTGACATATTCCCTCCCTACTTTTTGCCTTGTTCATTGAAGCGTGGAAGCTTAAGATAATAGCACTGAGGGGATTTTACTTCTTCTTTTTGATCTCTTTTTACAGTGGATTTTAATGTGGACATACGGACATTAAACCTCCTAAACTCAGTCTCTTGTGTTTTGTTTCGTATTAAAGATTTAAAATGCCACTAACCCTCTGATAATAGTTATTTACCTCCATGATTCTTTTGCATAATTGACAAGAGTTTGTGTCTAATTCTTCAGATTCAGTGAAGATGGGATGGAAGTGATGGAGAGGTTGATATATCTGTTTCGCAAGTTCCATCAGTTGAAGATCAGCAATGAGGAGTATGCCTGTATGAAAGCCATCAACTTCCTTAACCAAGGTAACAATGAAAGCTCCAGTATTTGTGAATCTTTACTTTTCTTTACCCGTACTGTGTTCCCCACATGACTCTCTTGTACCTTTGGTCCCTCCAAAGATATCAGAGGACTATCTAACATCTCTCAGCTCGAGCAGCTGAACAAGCGCTACTGGTATGTGTGTCAGGATTACACTGAATACAAGTACCCGCACCAGCCCAAACGCTTCCCCGAGATCATGATGTGTTTGCCAGAGATCCGCTGCATCGCTGGTAAGGCCTCTAAGTACTCTGTAGGATGCCTTTCAGTGCAGGTAATTTTAGAAATGCATTTGTGTTTCAAATACAAGTAAGAATGCTACTCTTTATTTTTTTAGGGTTCGGCATAGGGGTTCAGCCCTTTGTCCCATTATACTTAGAGAAAAGGTGTCTGTTTGACTTCACCTATTAGTCAGTTTAGAATGATGGAGTTAAACTGGCAGAGCTAAAACTAGATTGTTTCCTGCTGTGTTTGTGCTTATGTTCTTAATTTGACTCTAGCATATATTCTAAAAAAAAAAAAAAAA